GGCTGTAATGTTGGCTATCATTAAAAGTATATGAATGGTGGCAATACTGGCGTATTTAAGAAGAATAGTGCAAGCAGCACTACACACCCACATGAAAACAGCGGCGCAACTGGTGTTTATCATAGCAAAGGCAGCATATCATATTAATTCAGTGAAAGGAGGACGAGAGCGCTGGAGTTTATGTGCTTATAAGAAATCTCTAGCATTAATTCTGATCATGGCTTGTCTTGAAAAACGAAGACAGTCTGACGTTCATCGTAGGAGAAGTCACACTGCAGGACTGTGCGCCAAATCATCCGACACTGCCAGAAGTTCGTCGGAGGTAAAATTTGATCGCAACGGTCATTAATCGGCTGTCGGTGAACATGTCAAACCAGCGATCAAAGACTACAGATTTTAGCCTAGGATTATAGGAATCTTTTAGGATTTTTGAAAATTTGTCTCAGACGACCAAATCGTGGCCAAAATCGCACAATGTGAGCCAGGCTTTAAAGTGCTCCTATTCCTCCCCTTACTGCCTTTATTGCAGTGACAGGAGTTCTTATGGATGCAATCTTGGCATTGGTGGCCATTCCACATCTTCTTACGATGAAAAATGACCCACAACTTCAGCAGGAGAGTGCAGAGGGACCTAAACAACATGTTCAGGTTCTACAGACCTAGAAAATGTAAGCAGACATTCATTCTCTCTGCATATTCACGGACACATACACGCTTCCAAACCTCCTCTGATCCAGTACTTTATGATCTCTCTCATTTTCTCCTCCATACCCCAGGCCATGGCAGAGCGCTATAACATAATACAGTGTACTGTACAGTAAGTAAAGCTTGTGCCCAGAGGAACCCTATGGCGATGCCATGCCATCTGCGGACCTGGCACCAGCTGCCTCTGCTGGCCAACCAGCACGGTAATTAACAGACACCTCGCTCCATCACGTTTCTTCTACTCTTCACCTTTCATTCAGACCTAATGCACATCTGAAAGTCTTCTAGACAGAGAGATCTGGCAGGTGAAAAAAGCGTCTTTAATATTTCTTTCCTTTTGGCTCTTGGGACAGAACCTATCCTTGACTCTCCAGATTCAGCCAGGCAAAGAGAGAAAGTCTTGATTTCATTTTAATACGGCCTCTTTTAATTGGACATCAGGGTTGAGAAGTTCATTGACTGACTGTTGCTGTCCGATGTAATGAGAGAACAAAAAGGTCAATAAGCGTTATATAGACACATGATTTCCCCCAAGCCTTGTGTTGAAAAGAATACTCTAGCATTTATATTTAAAAAATAAAATAAAAAATATGAAGCACACCAATAAGTGTAACACTCACAAAATGTTGTTTGATTTAAAACAATAAAACCAAATAAAAAAAATATCTTTACAATTAAATAATTAAAATAAATTCTTTTTAAACAACCACCTGGATTTTTATGCATAAGTGAAATATTCTCTAAAAAAAAACATGATCATTAAACTGATCAAAAGTAACTCTAAAGACATTTATGATGTTACAAAAGGGGTCTATTTAAAATAAATGCTGTTTGTGTTAAAAATCCTTAAAAAAAAGTATAACCGTTTCCACAAAAATATTAGGCAGTTTTAATGTTGTTTTAATGATAATAATAAACAGCATATTAATAATTTCTGAAGGATCATGTGAAACTTAAGACTGGAGAAATGGCTGCTGAAAATTCAGCTTTGCCATAAAAATTGAATAAATTACATTTTGTTCTAAATAAATTATTGTATATAATAAATTATTGTATTAAAATAGAAAGCAGTTATTTTAAATTATAATTACATTTCATAACATTACAATTTTTACTGTATTTTTGATCAAATAAATGCAGTTTGGTGAGCGTAAGAGACTTCTTTTAATATTACTGAACCCAAACTTATGCAATTTTGCTTTTCAAGAAAATCTGTCTTGTTTAAATATGCTTAGATTTAGTTTTTGCTTGAAAACACCATAAGAATACAGACTGAAATGAAAATGTGTCGAAACATGAGCTTGATATAAGCACAACAGCTGGGTTTGTGAGTAATAATAAAATAAAAAGCATATCCAAACAGCTTCATTCTGTTTGCATTAGCATTATTGTCCAAGCTATCTCTGATAATACTGCTTGAAATGTGCTAAAATGACATAGTGTTGATTTTATGCCACGGTGATTTCACAAGCTCTCATTTTCAGCGCTTATATGGAACTGCCTCGAATGAATGGTGGCTTGACAGAATGCAATATAAATCACAACACATTAAACAAAGGCACACTCTTCCCACCATACACTACTGAAGAGCATGTTAGTCTAATGAATACTGTTTGGCGAGTAGATGATGTAAACTAATAGCTATATTTGATACTGTATACATTACTATTCATATTTTCCATCTTCAGTGAAATGACAGGGTATGTGAGGTTAAAAAGCAACCAACAGCTAGTCTAGGTGTGTGCTGAAAAGAGTTTCTCTGTATCCTTGCGTAACTGCAGTACCAAAAAAAAGTTTCAACCAAATGTAGGCATAACCCACTTAGAAATGCTGTCCTGTCCTCTTGGGAATGCATGGCTTAAACATGGTATTATGAATAAGGATGGCAAATGAACCATTCATCTTCTTGCTGTTCAGACAAAGTTAGGTAATTGTACTTGACACATGTATTTCTTGATTTTTGTTTATCATTTAAACAATACAAAAGGTTTTCGCCTATACTTTCTTGCAAGCTAGCTCTCATAACATCTCTTTGCTCAGCCATTTCATGTTTTGATATCTTCCTCTTTCGGTTTAGTTTCAGACGTAGCATATTGTATGGTCTCTTGGACCTGTCAAGCCTAACTTATGACACCTTGCTGAGCCAAGACTCGGTGTGTTTGCTAGAGAAGACTCAGCAGGCTTTGTAAAAGAGTGCTGCAGAAGTTGCTGTGGCTGGCTGAAGTTGAACAATACAGATGGAAGGCCTGACCTTGTCAGAACAAACCAAGTTTAGAAGGCCCTTTACTTCACACACACACACACACACACACACACACACACAACAACAGCATCATTCAGATTTGCAGATCGCACAGTAGGCTATTCTACTGGCTCTCTTCCCTCCCCATCACGCCTTACTTGGCAATCCACACCACCCTAGTACAATCGCTGAGGTCAGCGACAGCACACAAGCAATGGGCTACTTGTCACGTGATTGTTGGAAACACAACACCACGTAGGCACAATACAGCAAGCAGTTTTTCGCATCTAAAATCAGTTGTATTATGGATCAAAGATTGTACTGTAACAATACATCACCAGATGAGAACCTGAGAATGAGACATTCAAATTAGCATTAAAGATTTTGCACGTGACATCTAAAGTCATCCAAACAAAGTAGGAGAAATTTTAAGACATACAAATCATGCCAACAGCTTGTAATCTCACGTCTCTATTTAAAAGAAAGTACAGAGTTGACCAAAACTGGATAAAAAGCAAAACTCCATCTGCATCCTACATGCATCTCAACCCTCGGAGGCCCCTAAATACTGTATGTAACTATAAAATGCATCTTTATATACGCATTTATGTAAGTTCTCTATATATTTCCAGCTCACCCTCATCGTCATGACTGCAAGAGGACAAACAAGGGAAGGTGACCGAGGGAAGGAATTCAAACAAATGGAAATTTTGCAGTGGTGAAATGTACCATTCTCTCTCTTTCACACCTTAACGCTTCATTGACTCAACATAGCCATAATAAAATGATACTCATTAGACTATGATTTAGAAGCCATATCATGCTTTTGTTTGCTTTGTGTTTAAAATTCCCATAAGCTTCAATTTTGAAGCTGTTGTGTTTCAAAAACAAGCGAACACTTTTCTACAAAGACTACAAATACCACAATGAAATGAGTTAATGTGTATGACGAACCTAACATTTGTTGTAGTCTTTATATAAAACACAACGGTTGGTTTTAGCGTTAAAGTCTCTTCGAGTAGTGTTAACAACACGTTATTTTTTCTCAAAAACAAGCCAAACAAATACCCGATGGAATCCGTATCGAACGCGCTTATTCTCTTCCGGGTTTACTACAAAAGCTATTTTGTTGCAACTGTTTATAGAAGCTATCCTTGGCTGGATACTGAATCGTATAGACCTGATACTCCAACCTTTACTTCACATCACCTAAACCTTGAAAGGCAAGTATAAAAAAAATGAAGTGATTAGCGCACTCACTAGTAGGCTACGTATTAAAATAGGTAGTAGTTCGCGTCTTAATTCTCCCGCTCTCAAATATTCACGTGACATTAAATGAACTTGGATTATTATGACACTGGCTCAGGAACAACGAAGGCCAAACTGGTCGTAAAGCACAAACAATGGCTTGATTGATTGTTTTCAGTGTTGTCTTCATAGAAACACATTCGTTTGCCTGCTGTGGAATTAGTCTTATATTAAAGCCCTTTGTGTAGCCTCTAACACATCCACCTTATCGGCAGCATCTCAAAGTGGCTTGGCTTCAGCCTCATGCAACCTCCCGCGAGCCGCTCAGCACAATGGCAGCGGCTGTTTTCTCGGGATTCGGAGTCTCACCCGTCAGGCTGTCGTAGCATTCGATCTCAGTGCTCTCCACCGCTCGCCGCTGCTCTTCTGTCAGCTTGGTCGCGGCTTGGTTCAGGAGGTTCACCTCAGATCCGGTGGTCCCGTCGACGACATGGATCCCTTTCAACTGCAGCAGCGCCCTGTGATATTTCCCAATTGCTTCCCGGATTTTTTTCTCCTTGTAGCATCGGTGACCCTCCAGTTTGAAGTCGATCGCTTTCTGTATTTTCGCCTCCATCTCCATCTCCGCGCCGCCGACGCGATACCCTCCACCTCCGCCGCCGACGTCCCCACCCGCTGCCGCCGCCGCCAGACTCCGGCCCCCAGCCTCCGGATAGCTTTTCAAGCTCTTGATCGAGTGCTGCTTCGCTTCCATCTCGCTCAGGAAGCCATGCTGTTCCGAAGCCTGTGTTCTCTTTAAGGGCTGGAGCAGCGTGCTGTGCATAAAGGATGCGAGCCGAAAAACACAAGCGCGAACGGATAGTATCTTCCAAGGGGGAGCTAAATTCAACAGTAAAGATTGCCTACTATTATAACGCGTTAAAAGAGACAAAGAACATAAACAAATAGGTGATCGCGGTTGTCTCTCGCTGACCAGCGCGTAACGCCTTTGCACGGAGGTGATTCTGGAGCAGGTCTCTTCCCGTTGGCGAAAGCAGCTTCAGCACCACAGACAGCGCCAACGAGCACTAACGCGAGGCATTATGGGAAGAAATTAATCGTGAGATGATGCTGCTGGTGGATCACGAGCGGTAAATCTCCAAACGCTGTAAAGCCCAAAATGAATAAAAAATGCAAAGGCTGGTCATCTTTACGTCATTATTATTAAAAAGCACAGGCGAGGCAATTGTCGCAACACTGTGTGGAATCCCTGTTGGGAAATCCAGCTTATCTGGTAGATGTTTTGGAACATGGTGGCAGGTCTAAGATGGTAATTAGCTGGTTCATCAGCTACTATGTAAAAAAAAAAAAAAAAAAAACACTTTGAAAACCACTTTGAGATGATATGACCAGCTGGTAGCTGGTTTGTTGCTGGTTCACAATGGTCTACTAGTTCACATCAGCTGAGACCAGGACAGGACAAAAAGACATGCATGAAGCATGTAAAATGTGTCCTTAAATTAGCTTCCAGATCAAAGTGGAAATAGTCTCCCTGGGAGCTTGAATTATTAATTTACCCAGAGCTGAAACTGAAAAAAATTAATTTGCTGAAAATTGACATCCAAGATGTAGATACATTTTGGAACAGATTTGGAAAAATGTAGCATTACATTGCTTGCTCGCCAATGGATCCACTGTAGTGAATGGGTGCCATCAGAATGAGTGTCAAAACAGCTGATATTTAGCTGGTTGATCAGCTACTATGTAAAAAAAAAAAAAAAAAACACTTTGAAAACCACTTTGAGATGATATGACCAGCTGGTAGCTGGTTTGTTGCTGGTTCACAATGGTCTACTAGTTCACATCAGCTGAGACCAGGACAGGACAAAAAGACATGCATGAAGCATGTAAAATGTGTCCTTAAATTAGCTTCCAGATCAAAGTGGAAATAGTCTCCCTGGGAGCTTGAATTATTAATTTACCCAGAGCTGAAACTGAAAAAAATGAATTTGCTGAAAATTGACATCCAAGATGTAGATAAATTTTGGAACAGATTTGGAAAAATGTAGCATTACATTGCTTGCTCGCCAATGGATCCACTGTAGTGAATGGGTGCCATCAGAATGAGTGTCAAAACAGCTGATATAAAAATCACAAAAATCCACAAGTAATCCACACGACTCCAGTCCATCAATTAACGTCTAGTGAAAAGCTGCATTGTTGTATATTTTCTGCAAATTTTCATTCTTTGGGTGAACTATTCCTTGAAGTCTGCTGAAGCTGAAGAGATCATTCATTTAAAGGCTGGCCAGGCAGGTGTTGTTAAGATATAGGTCATTAATAAAATGAATAAAATGATAAAATGATAAAATGATAACTGATGGCGTTATCCAGAAGTGTCTATTCCTTGGCTTTCATGTATTAAGTTGATAAGAACATGAATTGTTAGTAATAGTTATAAATTGTAATGCAGATACATATCTAAACTAAATTAATAACACAGCCTAACAAAAAACGGAGTCAGCATTAAGAGACAAATGTTGAACAGTGATGAACTGCTGAAGTCCTTTTACAAATCGCTCAGTGTACTGCAACACTGGAGACATCCTCACCATCTGCGTCATTTACTAGAGCATGCATTAAAGGCAGCTCACATCGGTTTCAAATAAGAACTAAAATCATTTCATTATCTCTGTATAGTGACCTTCTTTATCAAACTAATTATGCAGTCAAAATCTCAAATGTAAGAATGCAGGATATTAATGCTGGTGGTTCATACAAATGATTGCAGACCCTCATCCATCAACTGCTACACAACCACATTAATGAAAAAAGGACCATCTCTTTAAAACCACTTTATGTAGAGAGGGAAGTGCAGATTAGTTTGCATTTTTCAATGCAAAACGCATTGGGTTGTAATTGTAACTATAAATGTGATAAAATATAACTAGAATATGCTCCAAAACTCAGTTATGTTAACAATGCATTTCATATAAAATTGTATAAAGTTCATTAAAGAAACAATTCAAGATTTTTCAGTTTTATCTTTTTATATTCAATCTATTCCCAAGACAAATAATCTTCATCAATATTTTATAAACTTACCCAGTTAAAATGTTTTATCTCTCTTAATATTCCTTAAACATAGCAATGTAACAACATTCTGCATTTGAGAGGCTTCAAATTAAACATGGAGAAACATGACAAAACACAAAGTGTAGGTAAATTCCTATTACAACAGCAAAATTAGTGGTTATTGTAGTGAACAGTATAAAGGGGTGAAAACATATACAGTACACAAGGGTCCACCTCCACGTGTGTTGCTGGCAACAGCATCACCAATGCTATATTTGCTCTGCTAGTCCAAGTAACACAACACAAATTTCCATTGGAAATTTGAGAGCAGAGACTTTAACATATGGATTGTGATTGCAATTTTGTGTCTTTAAGCAAGGTAACAGTTGTGGTGGTCAAAAAGGGGCGGTCACACAACACTTTTCAATTTCATTCATATGCATGTGAACACGGGAGACCGGAAGAGCAAGCTCATGCAAATAATTTTTGCATTTTGGGGTGTTCAAAAGTCCAATTTTTTGGTCAACTCTGACCTGCAAATTCCTATTTTGAAGACATGCCACCAACAGAAGAAAGACACATCATGATGTGACCTCTTAGTCTTAGCTGAATAAAAAGAACACAAACTTTAAAGCTGAAGGTTTGCGGAGTTGCAGGGAAAGGAAGTAGACTTTATGCTGTTGTTTTTTCCATTTCGGATAAGGTTAAAAAAAATTTTTTTTTAAAGTCTAGTTTGACCACAGGTTAAGGCATATTAATGGAAATGCTCATGTGTGCAGTTTTAAGCCATTAAAATGCCTTTTCTTTATTATAAAGATCCTTAAAGTGAAGGATAGTTCACCCAAAAATTAAGACACTATTTACTCCCCTCTTGTCCCAAAGTGTGACTTATTTTTTTCTGCAGAACACAAAATATATTTTGAAGAATTGACAACCAAATCATTTCGGTGACTTTCATTTGATCAAAAACAAAAACAAACAAAAAACTTTATTTTTTTATTAGAAAGAAAATCATACATTTTTGGAATGACATGAGGGTGAGTCTATGATGACAATTTTCAATTTTGGGTGAACTATCCCTTTCAAAACTGGGAGGTAAGAGGATAATTAAACATGAGCTTACTTCATGGAGGAATCGGTAAGCTCAGGTGTTTGTGGTAAACATATCACATGCTTTCACTTAAGTCTCTTGGTTACTGTACAGTCATGGCCAAAAGTTTTGGCAGTGACACAAATTTTGTGTTTTGCAAAGTTTGCTGCTTCAGTATTTGTAGATTCTTTTTCCACATGTTTCTATTGTATACTGAAAAAAAATGATAAGCATATCACAAGTTTTAAAGGCTTTTATTGGCAAAAAAATTTAATGAGTCAATATTTACAGTGTTGACCCTTGTTCATCATAACCTCTGCAATTCGATAATGGCTGCACATGTTTCTTTAGAGGTAACCATTGCTAACAAGAACACTGATTGGAAGCGCTTCTTCCCTCCTTTTATAGCAATCAATCTGCTCTCACAATCTAATTAGTATGGTAGTGAGTTTTCCTGACTAGTCCTCATTCACGTGCTGCTGATATGATTAGTCAGTTAATGTTAGTTGGTCATTTTGTGTCAGGATCAAAAAAGAGTGAAATTTGTTTACTCAAATACTTAGCGAAACAAAGCCAGTTTTTTTTTTAAAGTTTTTTTGTGAAAAGTAAATTTTTTGGCCAATGAAGCTTTTAGCAATTATTTAAAATGCATCTGATCACTCTACACAATAATCTAGAAACAATGTGAATGAACACCACAACAGCTTAAGCAGCAAACATTGCAAAACACAATTTATGCCACTGGCAAAACTTTTGGCCACGACTGTAGTGGGAAAAAAAACCTTGACATTTTGATCATTTGATTCTGGGCACCATGCATTAAAAAAAATCTTTATTACAACCCCCCCCCCTTTAATCTGGAAAACTGTTTCACTCACAGGGGCGCAGGAGAGTAGCTATAAAAGTATGACAGCAGGATAGAGCATGACTCCTATAACCAAACATAAGGACAACAGGTATGTCCACACTGATGTTTAAAAAATATTGCAGCTGTCCCTTTTTTTCCCTAATACCATCTACTCATTACACTCCATGAGGTACAGCATATCGACTTCCCAATCCATCAAGGGTGGTCCTAGAGTTTCTCCACACTCACTCAAATGGAAATTCAGGTGGGTTTTAAGTTATAAAAGGGGCACGCTGGATAAAAAAGGGGTGCCCTTTCAGTTTTTTGGGCATTAGGTTTTCCGGGCACCCAGTCTCTTGAATACACTGACTGCCCCAGCGTCCATCTGAGCCCCGTGAGTGTCACCTGTGCTACTACTGACCTTAGAGCTGGCCAGAGCAAAGCTGCCCTGGGCTTTGCTTCTGCTACTCGTAACACGACTGTCCTGGGTGTCTGCAGGCTGACTGACTAGTAGGGTCGAGGAGGTAGGGTTGAATGACGGGACCTTGCCTAGTCTCTGCAGTACACCCAATTTGGGTGTCCCCTCCTGGCTGGAGGAGGAGGTAGAGGAGGAGATTGGTGGTGTGCCTTCAGATGAGGGGAGTTTGTACTTTGCACCTAGTCGACGCAGAGTGAAGGGTTTAGATTTGGAGGTTATAGTGTCTTTTTTAGAAGTGGGTGGGGGTCGTTTGAGGACACCGGCATACTGCAGCACTGAGCCCTCACCGTCGCTGTCATTGTCCTCGAAGATGTCTGCAACACCATGGGTCTTTTCTCCACCCTCTTCATCTTCCTCTGCTTCACCCAGTCGGCTAAACACACCTGTTGGCTGCTGCATGAAAAAAGAGCCAGGAAGGCAGTGATGTAAAAAAATCAGGATTAGGAATCATGAACAAACAGTGCCGATCCTAGACTCCTGGGGGCCTTACGCAAAACTGTGGGGGGGGGTGCAGTGGAGTGGGGTATGAGTGGTTATGAACGAATTAATGAAACTCATTTGTCCATGTTTCACTCAGTCTCGAATGGTGCTCGCGCAA